TAAACAAACTAAAGCTGTAACGTTACACTAGCTTTACACCACCTCTCAAGGAGGTGTACAAAACGTGTAAATTACGTCATTAAAGTGTACTACACTTTCAAGAAGAACAGCGTGTAATGACGTAACTCAACGTCACTTCCGGCAAGAAAAACGCTAAAGTGTACACTTNACACTAAAGTATATAAAGTGTATGCAAGAAAAACAGACCTAATGAGATATTAGGCGCTTTCAGCTACGTACACAGGCGACACTGTGTAATGGCTAGTCTACAATGAAGGTAGTAAGGCTGGGTGCTTCCCAACTACGTACACGGGCGACACTAGTCTAGTTTCCACCGAAACCCTCAATTTGGTTCCACTCCGGTACAGATCAAATTTAGTGTTCCGTTTCCATTGGAAGTAGAATAGAAGTAAGAAAAATTAATATTTCAGTAGAGCCAACTTAAAACTCGTTTGTGTAAATATAAACAGACATAACCTAAAAAGAATATAATCCGAGAAACTTCTAATTGACTTCGCGGAAATGATTCAATCTTATATTTTATTTTTTTATTTTTAACTTGCAGCGACTCTTAACAAGACCCAACATAATGCAGACATATTGAAAAATAGAGGTTGGCATTATTTAGTTTCAAACGTTTCCACCGATTAAAATTGTATGTCAATTCACTGTCACTCCGATAAAATTTATAGATCAAAACAAAAGTGAATTGAGTGCAATTCGACGTGTTTCCATCGACTTAAATTTGATTCAACGCCGCAGTAGGTGTGAATTAATGTTTCGGTGGAAACTAGACCAGTGTTTTGTTGTTGGAAAGCACCCACTGCCTACTCCCATTGTAGACTAGCCATAACACAGTGTCCACTAGTGTGAGTGAACCACCCTGATATGCTCTTTCTCACATTACTGGACACTGTGTTACACAGTGTCGCCTATGTACACAACGCGTCACTGAATCGCGGAATAGGCGCGGGGATCGGGGGGCAAGCGGGGCGGTTGCTCGTAGCGCCAACGAGCGCCGTGCGAACTAACTAGTAGCAATCGGTTGTCCACAACTACGTCGTGTCGAT